GGGAGCCTGTCCCACCGCTCCGCTCTCGCACTCCCCGTGGCAGCCCTGAGCTCCCTTTGAGGGCTGTTGGCGAGTCTCCCTTCGGCCCTTTTAAGATCAATTTTTTTTGGTCTTAATCCGAGAAACAAGAAGCCTTTTGCAAACTGTACCAGCACCTTGCTGCCATATTTTTCTTATCTGCAGTTAAGTAAAAATGAAAACAAACTTTGAATATTCATTTGTTAGTCTGGCACGTAAAAGGTGTGTCTGTTCAAAAGTACCCTTGCTGCTGCTCTGTGTGTTGCCTTCTGACAATTTAACATTCTGCAGGCCGCAAAGCAGCACCGCAGGCTCAACAAGCCTACAGCTCCCAGTTCTTCCTCAAATAACGCCGTCATTTTCCTGTGTTTTCCATGGCCTCCGGGCACCTCTGTTGCTCCGGGGTTTCACACGGATGATGCAGCTCTTCTGAAAGCCTGGAGGCCTTTCAGAGCCCTGGTTTGGTCCCGGCCTCGCTGGGCTGAAGCCCCTTCCATCATGTCTCGGGGCTGGGCTGCAGCAGCTGACAATGGCAGGGCACCCCGGGCTCGGGCAGGCGGACCTATGGTGGTGCAGTGGTTGTCCAGGATTTCCATCTGCAGCGGCGAAGGGAAGGACGTTGCGTAGCGGCAGGGCTGCTCCTGCCTGGGTCTGGGATGGCCGTCAGCCAGCGGGGACGAGGAAAGCTGGGCAGGGCTTTGGCTTTTGGGCGGGTGCCTGAGGGGTCTGCTCCACACCGCGCTGCTCCGGCCCTGCTGCCCCACGGGTGCCCAGCGCTGCGATGCCTCTCTTCCTTGGCTCCTGTCTCACCCAGCCCGGTGGTGTGGCCGTTCTCACCCGTTGCTGGGCTCAGCTCTTCTCCCCGGGTCTCTGCAGACAGATTGGTCTCCGAGCGAGCATCACAGGTTACCTCCAGGCTACGGCGGTGCAGAAGGGGTCCCCACATGTCACCCATCCCGGAGTCCATACAGGAATCACGAAATGGCTGGGACTTGGTGAGAAATGCTCCCAGGCTTTGCTCCCTTGCAGTTCTCAAGCGGTTCTGCCCTCGGTTCCCAGCTCAGCCTCACGGGCCCTGTGCTCAGGAGCACGCTCGGAGCAGGGAGGTGCTCTGGTGGAGCAAGGCACGCAGCTGGCACGGGGCTGCTCGCCCACCTCAGCAGCGCTGCAGAAGGGGCTGCCGCCGCAGAGCCACCCAGTCCCATGTGATGCTTCACTGAGAGCACCAGGTGGCCCTGTGAAAAATGTGTCTGAAAGCCAACGGCATCCTAGTGCAGGGCAAACGCCGGGTCTTGGGATAAATGGCAGAGTGCACTGTTTATGATGGGGACAGGCTTGCGCAGAGCACCCACCCTGTCTCTGGTCTGCCAGCCCTTGTCCCTGGGGGAGACCTACACCGAGCCTGTGAACCAAGATTCATAATTCTGTGAGTATGGGAAACCACAGGCTCGCTGGGGGCTTCTGTTTCACGGCACAGAAAGCATTGGCTGCAGCCCACATCGTCCCTTCTGCGGGAGTGAGCCATGTCCTTTGCCCCTCCTGCAGGGGGTGAGGGTCTTACCCCTGCTCGAGTTCCCTTTTGCACCACAAGTGCTCGGTGTGCTTTCTCCTACCTTGATATATTGAAGTTATGCTCAGCAGTTTCTCCCACCTCAGTTTTATCCTGAAGCTTCTTCCGTCTGCTGCAGGCTGGGAGGAGCCTGTGTCTGCGAGAAGGCAGCAATTCCTGCGGGCCGTGCCTCTCCATGGGAGAGGCACGGGTGATACCTTTTGGTGGGGACTTGTCCCCCCGACCCCACACCGGGCAGTCTGTCCCTTTGCTGGCCGGCACAGGCAGGCTGCACGCCCCCGTTCCCCCAGCGTGTCTTGGGGCAGAGGCCTCCATCGTGCCTACACACCACATTCTACCTCAGCTCGCTGCCTCTGAGGTTCGTGTTCCTCAAGACCATCAGCTCTGTTTGAGCTTGTTACAGCCCCAGGTGAGGATAAGGCAAAGCAGAGCTGCGTTTCAGCAAGGTGTAGGCCAGGATTTTGGTTATAAGCAAGCAAAGTGTAAATGCAGCCTCTGCCCAAGGTTGAGCAAGCTAAACGTCGATGGAGTGTTTAACCCCTGGTGGCACGTGGAGTCCTGTCTGCCAGGCGGCCTCGGGGAGCCACTCCGTTCTGCAAAGGTTCCCCCAGGGACCGGAGCTGCAGCTGGCCTGGGTGCAGAGCTGAGCCCTGGAGCTGCCCGCTCGGCACCGTCGTCTCCATGGTTCCTGCTCTGTCTCCACCTCTTCCTATCCCAGACGGCCCACGCTGCCATCGAAGTGCGGCAGCGGCAGGGAGGACTTGGCCAGAGGAAGGGGTCTTGCCTTCGTTCATAACACAGGCTACGGTGTTTGCATAGCGCTTCAGTCTCCGCAGATCGCTTGGCTCCCGAAGCGCGTGTACGGTCCCTGTGAGGTTTGCAGTCTGGTACATGTTCTCGTCTGCCTCGCCGTGCTGCATATGGTCTGTAATTACTGGTGTGGGTGACAGAGCTGGCAGCCCTGTGTTCGCCCGGGCATGCCCGTGGGCGCGTGGCGATCTGCGCTTCCTGGTCCTGGGCTCTGGTGTCCTGGTCCTGGTGCCCTGGTCCTGCCCCTGGC